AGGCAAACAGTATTTGAGGTTTTGACTGCGTGCAACAGCAGCTGATCGGGTTACTTGGCTTGAGATGGCTTCTGGTCATGCGATCAACTGGGTAAGAATAGGTAGAAGAAGACAAAGAAATAGCAGGTCGGCCAAGGTATGCAAGAGGTTGCGAAAGCGTGCTGTCTCCGCAATATCTGTTTCGAATCTAGTTGCTAACGATTTCACAACAGACTGCTTTGTGTTGATTTCGATGATAGTATAGAACGCTGAGCAATGGCAAACTTCTTAACATAAAACTGCCTAGTAGAGGGAAAAAATAAAGAATGTATGGGGATGGTTTTCAGCGCCATCTAAAGGCTACGTAAATTACAAAGTAGCCTGTGACAATTTTATAATTTATTCGGGAGCTAGTGTTGACTGATTCGTCAGCTTAACAAAAGTGTTGCAAATAAGGATGGCGGCAGTCATTTGATTTGATTTGATTCGATTCGATTTGATTTGATTTGATTCAAGAACCGACATCACATCACGCAGGGCATTCCCATAAGCGCTCCGTCTTCATCTTCAGCAGCCAGCGAAGAGTTCCGATACTAATGGTGCCAGTAGCATATTGATTTAACGTCTGTCATTCCTTTCCTCTGAGCCTCGAGCATCTGCCAGAACCCCTCGTCACTCCCCCCTGCATCAATCTCATCAGATTGTGGGGATCCATCTGCTCCTCCGAACTGTACACGCTCTCCCACAAGGCACTTAACTACATCTGCCCTATCATGTATCAGTATTCCACCAAGCTGTGCAGAGCCAGCCAGTCTGTCCTCATGTTCATTTCCCAACAAACCGGGGTACCCTGTTGAACAAATCCAGACAAAAAGAAGAAGAAGAAGAAGAAGAAGAAGAAGAAGAAGAAGAAGAAGAAGAAGAAGAAGAAGAAGAAGAAGAAGAAGAAGAAGAAGAAGAAGAAAAAGAAGAAGAAGAAGAAGAAGAAGAAGAAGAAGAAGAAAAAGAAAAAAAGAAGAAGAAGAAGAAGAAGAAGAAGAAGAAGAAGAAGAAGAAGAAGAAGAAGAAGAAGAAGAAGAAGAAGAAGAAGAGGAAGAAGAAGAAGAAGAAAAAGAAAAGAAGAAAAACATCAACTGCAGTAGCGAAATAATAAAGCTTGAGGATATAAACAAGGGGTGCGTCCTGTCAGATTTTTCATTTTTCAAAACTGCAGTATGTGCGAAGTCACGTTTATCTTCACCCGAAATTATGCAGGTGTTGTCGGCAATGAAATAAGGCACCGATCGGCTGGCTCTGACGTTATTACAGATGGAAGTCTAATGGATCCCACTGACACTGTTAATGAACATAAAGAGATTGGACGATGGAGGCTTTGGGAAGCAGCTTGCACACATCGCTGCTAAGAATGCAGTAAGTGGGAATAAGCATTGTAACAAACATACAATGACTTTTTAACGTACGAGTGTTCTTGTCAACGTTCAAAGGACTAGCATAATTAATGAATAGACGTTAATGTATATGTTTCTATGAACATTTCCGGAGTGCCACGAAGATAACCCACTCAGAACTTTTAGTACGACTTGTTTTGGTTTATTAATTTTTAAGAAATGGTAACTCACACAATATATTAATTTAAACGAAGGTGGCAAACCTCTTATTTATTTTGCATATATTCTGTTACTCAAGGCCAAGAGAGTTCAAAGTTGAGAGCCTGTCGAAGATACCGTGTGGAGATTTTCGAAGACACTCTGAATGCGCTGCATCGTACATGGTTGATCGACAAAAAGGTTTCGCGTATGGGAACTTAGCAGATTGTTCTGTCACAGTGAACGGGGTCAGTTTTTACATATCCTATAGCATGATGGTATGCATGTGTATGGTTTGAAAATAGATGACCTCGATTTCCTTGACTTCTGGCAAGTACCTCACTAGGTACTTCTGATTGGTTGTTCCTGTGCCTCGTAACCTTCGCTCAAGATCAGAGGGGTGTTCCGCGATACCGTTGATAACGCGTGTTGTATATTTCAGCATTCCAGTGCGTTTAACGCTCCAAAAACATGGAGCAACTGGCCCTAAACCACCCTTTTCCCCCCCCCCCGAGAGTACTACAGCCTATATCACAGGCATTCTCTTTCTCGGAATGAAAATGTAAATGCATGACAATACAGAAAGCGAACAACAGAGCGGGATGTACCCGAAACCTTCAGGAATGTCGACCAGTCCAACAAACTTGTGAATGAAAAGTGACCTACTCTATTTGGGGATATTTGCGTTATTTGCCTCTTTATTTTCCTAAAACACTCACGAGGTCAAACGTTCTTAACCACACAGGACTGCAGGTTACACCTGGCTGGTTTAACTGTTACAGGTGCCTAAGTTATAACTTCTTTGGAGGTTGAACAAGGTATCTGCGATCAGGGCTGTTGGTCTGTCACTAAGATCGTAATATTTAAACTTCAGGATGGTATTGTAAATCTTTAACCAGCAGCCCGGATCGGAAAACTAGTCAATAGATCCAAGAGGGGCCCAAAGCGGGTCACGAACTTTCGCGTTTCTCCTGTTGTGCTTTCTCGTCGACCTCAGCGTGACATGATTACTGCTACTGACTCTTGGTTTATGGAAGTCTTCGCTAGGAGTGCACGTCTACCATTCTATGGAATGTGGCATGATCGTAAAGGAAGGGGGGGGGGGGGTGGCCGGGAGTGAGCCAGCCTCTCACATCTGCCACAATCATAATGTTATAAACATTAAGCAGACATTACGAAACTCAGAAGATTGACTTATTGCTCAGCTGGTAAAATACTTGGCTGTGATTCCGCTAGACGACTATGTTATATCAATTTACAAACCAATTAGCGCTATGTGGGTAATGTGGTCAGCATTACGTCGGTCGTCTTTACTTTCCCAGGACAGTCATCCTGGTACCTTTTTTCGGCTGGGTCGACCTGCGACGCCCCATACCATGATAAAAATCCACGCAAGCAGCAGTGGGTTTCGATCGCGTTACGTTGAAAATACGAGTCGGACTCCCAACGCCTAAGCCATTGACGCCGACATATTATTATAAGCAGGCTGATATTTGAAGGGCAATCCCTTAAACATAAGACGCAATCTTGACTGGCTCAAAGAGTTCGAGAAGAAAACACACACCCTGCCAATAGGCTTCTCATTTCTATGCATTCTGATGTGCTGGACAGATCATGGAACAGTAAGTAAAAAAAAAAAAGTAAAGATCCCTTTCCCCGCCTTTAGGCGTATCGGGAATATGGGAAGAGCTCCCATATTTACAGACCATCAGCACTCGGTAGGTAATGTGGTCAGCATTACGCCGGCTGTCTTTACTTCCCAGGACAGCTTATCCTGGTACCCATTTTAGGCTGGGTCGACCTGCGACGCCCCAAACTATGATAATAATCCGCGCAGCCAGCAGTGGGTTTCGATCGCCTGAGCCGCGGGGGAAAATAGGTAAGGAAATGGCTTTAGCAGTGACTATGGTAGATGCAGACATAGTCTGTATAAACGACGGTAGGCCAGCTAGAATATCAACGAGACCCGGTGATGCAGATACGGGCATTGATTTGGCGCTTGTTACCTAGTCAGCAGTGCTGGACACAGAATGGAGTATCCTAGGCAATCATGGGGATGACCAAATGCCATGCTCAGTCTTGATTTCTAAAGCTAGGAAAACCAGGGCTGTGAGAACGCGCACGACTGTAAGGTGTGAGAAGGCCAGTACCCTTCTTGGTCGTCATCCACAGAATGTTTGCAGCAGAACTACCACCTTTGCTTGTGTGCAGCCTCCATTGTGGACCCAAGAAGTGGAAGAGGCATGCAGAGCAAAGCTAGCGACAGTTACACAATTACAGAAAGTGCAAAAGTCATCACAGGTACAAAGGATGCAGAGAAGCTGGAGAGAGTTGGAAAAAAAAATAGAAGAGTTCAAGCGGCGTGCAGCAGATTTAAAAAAAAAAAAAGGCTAAACGGGAAAATTTTGTAGACGAAATTGGAGGGGATAAATCACTTGATATGTTTTGGAGACTTCACAGACAGATGCAAAGAAAGGATCGCCTTGTCACAAAGGCATTATATACACTGATAATACAATGCCAAGGACAACAGACAAAGAGAAAGGGAAAGCATTTTTGGAGATATTTATAGCTGAAGTTGATCATAACGATAAGGAACTTAGAGATTTAGTTTGAGATAATCTGTCTAATGCTATAAATAATACTTATTTTCTGGATATTATTAGAGCGGTTATAGAATATCTATTGTAAAAATCAAAAGACACTGCGCCGGGACCAGACGGAGTCAGGTATGCCCACACGAAGAGCATGAGAGATAAAGACTTGAGGGAGATGGCTAGTTACCTCAACCAGAGTGTCAGAACAGCTTCAGTACCCCAGGATTGGGTACACAGTTACCTAATCCCACTTCCATAACAAGCAAACATGATTTCACCTTGTACCACTGTTCTTCACATGACATCTCCTTGTACCACTGTTCTTCACATGCCATCTCCTTGTACCACTGTTCTTCACATGATATCTCCTTGTACTACTGTTCTTCACATGCCATCTCCTTGTACCACTGTTCTTCACATGCCATTTCCTTGCACAACTGTTCTTTACATGACATCTCCTTGTACCACTGTTCTTCACATGACATCTCCTTGTACCACTATTCTTCACATGACATCTCCTTGTATCACTGTTCTTCACATGACATCTCCTTGTACCACTGTGCTTCACATGACGTCTCTTTGTACCACAGTTGTTCACATGACAAACCCTTGTACCACTGTTCTTCACATGACATCTCCTTGTACCACTGTTCTTCACACGAGATCACCTTGCACCACTTTTCTTCACATGACATCTCCTTGCACCACTGTTCTTCACAGGACATCTCCTTGTACCACTGTTCTTCACATGACATCTCCTTGTAGCACTGTTCTTGACATGACATCTCCTTGTACCACAGTTGTTCACATGCCATCTCCTTGTATTACTGTTCTTCACATGACATCACCTTGTATCACTGTTCTTTACATGACATCACCTTGTACCACTGTTCTTCACATGACATCACCTTATACCACTGTTCTTCACATGATATCTCCTTGTACCACAGTTATTCACATGACATCTCCTTGTACCACAGTTATTCACATGGCATCTCCTTGTACCACAGTTATTCACATGCCATCTCCTTGTACCACAGTTATTCACATGACATCTCCTTGTACCACAGTTCTTCACATGATATCACCTTGTACCACTGTTCTTCACATGACATCTCCTTGTACCACAGTTCTTTACATAACATCTCCTTGTACCACAGTTCTTTACATGGCATCTCCTTGTACCACTGTTCTTCACATGACATTTCCTTGCACAACTGTTCTTCACATGACATCTCCTTGTACCACAGTTCTTTACATTACATCTCCTTGTACCACTGTTCTTCACATGGCATCTCCTTGTATCAGGTTTAGGCTGCACACTCATGGGAGCTGAGGTAAATGATTCGGTTATAAACTGAAGACTTTTTTGGCCCGCAGGGGAGAGTTTAGCCACTGCACTAGCGTGGCTCCCAAACAAGGACTCACTTTATATATTATCAGGTAATGTATCGAAGCGTTACCAGAATGAGATATTTTTTTCCAGAAACATCCACGATTTACAACAATGCATATGTGCACATCGTATACAGTAACCATGCCGTTGTATTCAGCCCAGGCATCACCCATAGAACCATACGAGGGTCAGCTCACGGGTCAAAAGTAGGTTGTATTTCTACATCTAGCTGTGTTTTTGTTGTTGTTGTTGCTAGGTATTACGTTATTTGCACAATGGAGTCTGGCTGCAATAAATCCACTGCTAACTTCTGAAATATTATTTGATGAAACCCTCAATATTTCCACGGTAAAACTCTCATTCCACTGTCACAAAGCCAAGAAAGGTCTTTTTTGAAAATCCAAGAAAGATCTTTTTCTGAACCGACCACTTCTGGAATTGAACCCTAGTACGTGGGGTAAGACAATATGAAATAGTTTCTCTAACATTGAAATCGTTCAGTACCAACACATTTTCTGAGATATTCTATTATTTTACAATCCGCCTTGACACTCGATATGGCCAATCTATTGTAGCTTCCTAGCCAATCTTCTTCGATGTTGAGATATTTTAGAATACCAGTAACCAGTATTTCTTATCTTTGTAGATGGTATTCTGAGAATCCTTCTATAGCACTTCAACTTTAAAGCCCCCCTTTCCTTCTTCAGGGACTGGGAGATAGTCAGATGGTATAGGGAAGATGCACGTCTCACAATGTTAACTTTGATTTCCTTGCTGCTGCTTGATCATACGCTTTTAATGCTGTTTAATCTTTGTGTTGCTATCGCCATGAACAGAATAGTTTTTCTGTACTGCCAGTCTTAGATCGTCTAGTATAATTTCTCCCTTTTTATTTCTTTACCTTTGTTGAACCTTCTCCATTGCTGTTTATTAAGGGGCCTAGAAGGTTAAAAGTAGTGAGAGTAAAAACAGAAGTATTAATAGTAGTAGCAGCAGCAGCATTAGGAAAACGAACTGTAGTTGCAACTATAGCAGTAGTAGTGGTAATACAGACATAGATATTCATTTTATTAAATGAAGAACATCTTGTGCAATATTTCCTTGTCATTGAGAGTTAGAAAAAGAATTCTTGCTTGCTACACACATCCAGTTTTAACATATGGCTGTGAATCCTGGACAATCGGTAGGCAGGCCAAACGAGAGATGAGGTTTTAGAGAAGAATGCTTAGAATACCTTAGACAGCCAGAAAGAGCAACCAAGAGGTTTTGAAAGAGGCGGGAGCCCGAAGACAACTTATCACAGACATCAGAAGGAGACAGTCATCATTTTTCGGTCATGTTATGAGAAGAGGGAAAATAGAACATGTTGCGACCACTGGAAAGATCTGTGGAAAAAGGGAAAGAGGAAGACAACCAGAGAAGATTCTTGACAGTCTTGTTGCATTGCATGGAGGTGTGTCGGCACACGAACTGATACATGCTGCAGGAGATCGTGGATTATGGAGAAGCATGATCGTTCACGCCAGTCGGCAAGGCACCTGATAATGATGATGATGATGAGGGGTAATAACCGCAGTAGCACCGGTAACCCTACTACTAGTAGTGGTATTAATAACAATAACAGAATTAGTAGTAATAGATTATAAGTAGTAACAGTAGTAGTTCTATATATATATATATATATATTAGTTTTGGTAATACGAGTAGAATAGAGAATATTGAATATTGAAGAGCTGAATATTGAAGAGGGTTGGCTAGTAAAGACAATAAAACAAAGAAAATTGAAATATTTTGGTCACTTGAAACGTCAAGGAAGTCTAGAGAGAACAATAATGGAGGGGTATATGCCTGGGAAGAGAGGAAGAGGAAGGCCAAGGAGAAGATGGGTGCAGGATGTGGGAGATGATCTCCAGATGGGTGTATCAGACGCAGGACATCTTGC